CCCCTCACATGATATCATGTAATATAAAAGTCACATTCAATTAACTTATTTGGATTATTTTGTTACTTCTTTATTGCAAATTTTATTATTATTGACAGATTAGTGCACTTAAAGTTATATATACTTAAATAAAAGTGGCATGGTTTATTAATACGGAGAATCAAAGGCATTATTCAATTAAATATTGTGTTTCAAGTGTCAATTCAAACGCCCACTCGTATTATGCAACACAATAAGTGTGTATATTATAGGCAATAATGTATGAAAAGTATTGGTTTTGATTGTATTTCACAATTGAATGAACGCTTGGAAAACATATAAATCACATTTTCATTGTATTTTTGATGTGATTTTATCTTAATATAAATTCAACAGAATTTGCATTATGACAGATAAAACATTTGCTATTATAAAAACGCATGGGGTAAAACTAAATAATTTCACCTATACAGTATGTAGTTGCATAGGTAGGTGTCGGAACTCAATAATTCATCAGGTTACTACTGATAACTTATCAATGTATTATTGCACCGATTAATACATTATAAGTGTAACTAAAATATATTCCAATATATTGTTTAGTAAATTTAATAAAACAACAATTATATACTTTTTAATTTAATTAATTATATAACAAGTTTATATAACAAACATTTACAAAACTTAACGATGTAATAAATATCCGGGTAATAAAAATTATTGCTGGGTATAATTTTTGTGTGTAAAACATCTCATTGTCATGACATCTAATGTTAAAAATACACGTCATTTTACCATAAGTTATCGGAAATATACAGACAAACCGATTATCTATATCTTAATCTCAAGACTAAAAGTGTAATCAAATGCAAACAAATTTCTACAATTAGTGGAAATCATTGATAACTTTAACTAATCATAACTTATAAGGAATTCATACCAAAAATTGAGTCAAAAGTAGATATAACCGGTACTTATGGTAGGCTTATGTACTGTTATCTACAGACTTAATACAGTGTTGTGTACAGTGAGTATTGAATAGTGTGTCAAAAGGGTTGAACGCTGAGCAATGTTTAGGTGGTTTCTTGGAAACACTCCTATTGTATGAGTATTTGATTTCAATGAATATATCATTAGTTTATAGTTTTAATTGTATTTTTAATTCACTTATAATAAGTCACAACACAATGACTGCTAAACTATAGTCACGTGTCTTTTAATTGTCATTTAATTTGTAATTTAATTGTAATTATAATTGTTTTGTTATAAACAAATGACAGATAGTATTGAGTGATAAATAATTTTTGTTTATATTTCTGTTATTTTGTGGCAAAAAATTGTTTTTATTTGTCGTTTAAATTGTGGTTAAGTTTTAATTGTGACAAAGATTTGTGGCCATTGATTGTCTCGTCACTCTTGGGATCAGCTGTTGCGGTGATTGAGGCGATTGAGTGTCAGCTGTGGTATTGTGTTGTTTACCACTTGTTTGCTGTCATCAAGAGATTCAGTCATTTAATCGACGGGTCATTGGACTCGTCAAAGACATCGCCCCATCGGTGGACACAACGGATCCATTGTCTCACACACTGACTGTCATTCGGTGACAATGACTGCCGTCACGAAAGAGGCCGAAGAGTTGGACAAATCGCGCAAACATTTGTCACTTCTTCGCGAAGAATACGTAAAACTGCAGCAAAAGTATTGCGATTTGGAGAAGAAGTACAACCTATTGAACGCTTCCTCCGGAGTGGTGGACGACAACTCATTCGTCTCGCGATTGGTCCGCAATGTGGCCAACCTTTTTGACAAAGACTTGTACTCCGATCTGACCATTAAACTCAATGGCAGTTCAGTGAAGGGCCATAAGTTTGTGCTGTCGGCCCGAAGTGATGGCTGGGATCAGTTGGACCACTGCTCCGAACTCGACTTAACGCATGTGAACCCAGAGGTGGGCTTTCACTTCGTCCGATGGCTCTATACGGACGCCATTGACTTCAGTCACCGCAACGAAGACTTCATACTGGATGTGATGCGCGCCGGGAAGCGCTTCGACTTGAATCCGTTGGTAGAGCTCTGCGAACAGACACTCATGTCGTTCGTGAATGTCTCCAATTGTGTCCAATTCTATCAGACGGCCGACGAGATCGGCGCCGAAACGCTGAAGAATCACTGCTCGGAACTGGTGTCCAATCATTGGGACGACTTCACGAGCGACGACTTTGTCTCGATGTCCGCCCCGTTGTTGTACGCGATGTTCAAAACGAAGACCGAATACCCGTTGCATACAGCGATTCGGATCAAGAGAGAGGACGTCTTGTTCTTGTATTTGATTGAATTCGACGCCCAATTAGTGGTCAAACTGAACGAAACCGATAGAGCGGGTGAACTGCCCCTCCATTTGGCGCTGAAGACCAAACAGGAGGACATCGCCCGCACACTGGTCTCCCATAAGGCCAATGTGAACGCCGCCGACGCTAACGGCCAGACACTACTCCACAGAGCCATCCAACGAGACGACCACTTCTCGGCCCACTTTCTCGTCAAGAATAACGCGTCGGTCGATACGCCCGACTCCGTGGGCGACGTTCCCCTCCATCTGTGCGCCGATAAGGCCAACAGCGACGGTATGTCTAGAATCGCGCGCAATCTCTTGGACTCCGAGGCCGACCCCAACTTCCAGGACTCCAACGGCAACTCCGGTATTGGATCTGAGTTTTATGTGTTGTTTTGTTGACTTTTTAATTGATCCCTTTATCCGATGCCCAGCCCTTCACAGAGCCGTTATGTCGCTAAACAAAGAGGTGTTTGACATACTATTAGAACAGCCGAAGATTGCTATTGATTTAAGAAACAAAAAGCATTCGACGAGTTTTGCCATAGCGTTGACCAAATTGGCCGAAAACGAGTCATTCGCCCGGGAATTGGTCCGAAGGGACTGTTCTATTGACTCGATTAATCCCGAGACCAGCGACTCATTACTGCACGCGTGCGCCCGAGTGGGTAATGAAACGGCCGGACTCTTCCTGACCGGCAATGGGGCCAAAATTAATCTGACCAATAGTCGGGGCGAATCACCCCTACATATCGCCGCCGCTAACGGTCTCTCTGGTCTGGTCTCGG